AATCAGTGGTTAAGTTGTATTTACAACACTGTTCCAGAACAGTTCAACCCAAATATTCAGATGTGTGTCACATTTTATGGAGGACTGTTTCCTGATCTTGTAGAGTAGACTATAATGCCGGCTGTTCTGACTTACACAAAATAATGTTCTTTTTAGCAACATCATATGACCCCTTTAAAAGTAAATACTTTTGATTGTCCGAGACATTGGTGGGCGTCATGGCATCCCAGCCTATTGGCAGAATTTGGCACAAAATACATTTTGAAATGTCAGACACACTCAAGTGTGCACTAAAAGCAGTGCACTAACCCCATGCAAACGTGCCACCCATAACTTGAAGAGAACTCAAACAACACACAATACACATATTCCTGTTGGTCCCCATTACCATGCACAGCGTGTTTTAAAGAGGGACTCACTGACCTGTGTAAGAGAAAGTAAATTAAACACCAAAGGCAAACACATTCAGGGGAATTATATATTCAAGGCTGGGCTGCTTTCAACCTCCTAGCCTCCATCTCCTCTGAGAGATGGCTTCAGCTGTGGTTACATAACGTCAAACTGAGTCAGAAGGTTAATGGTGAGCTGGGTATTTCCATTTTAATTTAAAGTGTGTTATTGTGTCCCGTCTGACAAACATTTAAAGTGGCGTCGTGTTGGGGGAGGGGAACAGAAATGAGACACGAACGGGAGTGACAGCAGCTCGATACTTACGATGGAGAGAAAGTAGAACCCGATAGACCCCCCTAAAGCACAGGAAGCTGATCGGCTCATTACCCTTTTGGTTACTTCAGTCATCTACAACTACATACAGCAAGTTCACTGAGTGAATTTAGACAGGGAGAACATCACGAATAAAAATGTCAGATTATGAACTCATGTACAGTGGCCACAAATGGTATTTTGGACACTCAATGGTGCCCATTCACCACCCAACTTTCATAAACTGCTATTCTTTTCACATTACACAATTGTAGGTTGTCACCGATGTCAGTTCTGGTGAAAACACATTTTAGCACCTGGACTTGGACTGCAAACAGGTCTTCATATTTAAACTACTAAATATCTCTTGAGCATTGGGGATGCATCAGCACTTCTCTCAAATCATGGGTTTGATCATTCAAACAGCGATTGTCACTCACATGAAGGAGCTCTGATTTTCACCTAATTTACATTTCTATTAAATTTTGGTGAGTGGAAAATCAGGGCTATATTGTGTTGTGTGTGTGTGCAGCATAAGTCACTTAAAAATCATTGTCATTGCATTAGACAACAAAATATCGACGTGTAATCAGCAAACCTATGATTCTAGTGCTTATTTCGCATCTAACTTGCTCTACTTTTCTGAGCCAATTTTATTCAGCAGCTTAAGCTTGGTGTATTATTTATGTAATGCAAATTAGGCATGCATCTATAATAAAAATTACAGTCAGTACTGAAGCAATAATTATTTTCTTCATGTTATAGCAGACAATCAATAAATGGCTGATATTAAATTTATTTACCATTCTGTTTATATTAAATACTAAAAGCTATACACAATTATTTTAAAATCAGTTTTTAAAAACTGAATTTAGGCATCAAAACTTTATAAATGTACAATATGGAAAAAAAATGGTAACACTTTAGAACACCGTTATGTCAATAAATAAACAACTACACCGGAACAAATGAGTAATGCACTATTAACATTCTATTAATTAACTATCTATTAACTAACAATGAACTCTCAGTAACGTATTAGTAAGTAATAGTGCTTAGTTAAAATTGATTAGCTAATCAGTAACTTGAAACAGACATGTTCCCTTTCAGTCAGTCACGTTTCACGTTACGCCAGTCGTGACTGACGAATTGGGATCTCGCCCGTCAGCGGGGGTTGCCATTCAGTGCTGCTCATCTTCGGCGTGCTGCAGCTTCCATTCTGCGGTCTCGCCGCGACCTCCCCTGGGCGCTTCAGCGCTCTCTCTAAAAGAGTGTTTCCATTTTTCTAAAAGAGCAAATATCTAAAAGAGCTCCACGAGCGACGGGCGTCTTTTTAAAGATGGCTTCCCGCTCGTGCGTTTCTGGATGTGGTCGCTTCTTGGCGTCATCTGACGGTCATGATCGCTGTGTCTCGTGCTTGGGCTTGCAGCACGCTGAAGCAGCGCTCATGGATGAGTCATGTTCTCAGTGCGGGAACATGACCATCGCGGTGTTGCGGTCTAGATACCTCCTCGTTAAACGGGGGGGTATCCCCCTTGCCATGCCCCGTTCTAGGGCTACTTCGGTTCATGGTCAGGCAGATCTGAGGATCACGGTGAGAGCTTCCCCGTCAAGTACGTCTCCGCGGGCCTCTCATTCCTCTAGCGCATCGCACCGCCTGGGGTTCCCGGACGAGTTTGCTGGTTCCTCGGACAGGGCTCATGTCCGAGGCTCAGGGGCCCAGCATCTCGTGTGGAGCGCAGGCAGATGACAGGATGTCGATCGCTGCATCCGAGGGCGAGCTAGGCTCTGGAGATGAGGATTCGGCTGCACTGCCTCCGTCAGGAAGAGTGGCGTTGCCTGAGTCAGATCCAGAGCTGACTGCTATGCTTTCCCGGGCCGCCGAGAGAGTCGGGCTGCACTGGAGGCCTCCTCCTTCTCCCGATCGCTCGAGGCTGGATGATTGGTTCCTGGGGGCGCAGGCCGCTCGTCGGCAGCCGCCTCCGGT